TGTTTTAAAAACTCCTTCTTTTTGTCCTTAACACAGCTGAACATGGATTTCTCTTAGTATCCTTTACCAATTTTCTACAATTACTAACTTCTGATGTATATTCATGCTTATCAATTTGCCCTTGCTTCCATTTATTATATACTAGAAGATTTACCAGGCATTGCTCAGGTCCTTAACTCAATTAATTTTCATTTTTCTTTATTTAAACCATTGTTCTGGGGTGGAGATGAGAGATTCAATATGCAGGCTGCCACAAGGAAAGAGGTCTATGCCAGCCCTCCCTCATCACAGCAGCTTGGGGCCAGATAAGAAGCCATCTTCATAGTTGCTACAGCTCCAGCAGGCACACTCTTCTTGTCAGTAAGCAAGAGCAAAGTGCACAGCTCATCTGCCCCTGCACTTCCCAACCAAAGTGTATAATGCAGCAAACTGTGTACTTTCCCTTCACTCACTGAAGGGAAACAACCAGCAATGTTCCTATAAGAACTGGGGTGGAGCTGCGTGGTGGAGGCTCAGGTAGTCCTAGATGGGAAGGCGGGGAGCAGCCAACCCCTTTCACCTGCCTGGTGATTGTCTCTTCTCTGTATGGTTTTATGCATCTCCATAGGAATCGGGGGGATTTTCAGCCTTCCTCCTCCTGCACAATCAAACCCTTACCTTGCTTGTAAGTTATGATAAGAGGAAGCTGCATACCAAATTTGGTGGTCCTAGCTCTTACCATTTAGGAGTTTTCGAACAAACAGACTCACAGACACACACATATATACACTCTCAAATATGTAGTAGATTATTTCTTATTTTATAGCTGTTTTCACTTCTCCTTTAAACCAGGTCTAAACCAACATGTCTGTCTTCCTCAATTGTGGCTTTTTTGGCATCTAGTAAGGTATTCTTAAATGATTCCCAATTATCACTAATATTTTTCTCATTAAATGTTTCCTCCCCGCTGATTTGGCTAATAACTATTTTCAGCTTTGTAGAACCTGACCTTCTAAGGCACCAAATACAAACATATTTATTTATAATTATTACTAGTCTGGACTTCATTCTGGTTGCAGGTGATAAATGTGATCAAGTCATAATCATTTGTACCTAAACTGCTGTTAGTTTTCAGTTCTGTGATCAGTTCCTCTTTATTTGTTAGGACAAGGTTCAACAAAGATTTCCCCCAAGTTGGCTGCAACAATTTCTGAGTTCAGAAATTGTCATTTATATGTTTAGAAATTCAAAGGATGTTTTAATACTGGCAGCAATACACCTCCAACATACGTCACTCAAACTGAAGTCCACCACAACAAAAAGCGTTTTCCCTATACATTGTAATTAGGTGTGTAAGGAGGTCGTCATTTTGTTCCACGATATGATCTGGTGGTCTGTAGCAGACATGAACAAGATGATATCCCATCTTGTGCTTTATCTTTTAGGACACTGCTCCAAAACCATTCTCAATCATATTTTTCTGAGTTAGCAAGGACTTGGAAATAGGGAATCCTGTTTTTAGCAGAGTGCCATTCCCCCGCTCCTTTTGTCCACTTGATTCTTCCTAAATAGCTTATAACCATTAATTTTAACATTTCAATCATGTGAATCACCCAACCAGGTTTCAGTAATACCAACAATATCAAGTTTATCTTCATAAATTGTGGGGGAAGCCAGACTGAGGGTGGCTAGAGAGCAAGTGATAGAACATGATTGCAGAGCTACAGAGGGCTCCCTGCATGGCCTGTGACACTAGATTCCTGCAGCAAAAAGTGCAGAGAAAGTTGTGGTCCTGGAGAGGAGGAGCAGAGAGCTCTAGTCAGGGCCATGAAGATAACAAGTCCCAGGCTGCAGGGAAGGCCACTCACTGCTGAACAGCTCCTGCTCAGAGACAGAGCCATGCAAGAGTAGAATGGCCTCTTCTGAAGTCAGGGACGACAAAGACTTCTCCTCTTCCTCTTTGTAGTCCTGGCTAGGGGTCTCTGCTCTGCTGGACCAGAACCACAGCCTTCCCGACACCTTGGGCCTGTAGGGATTGGGTGTCAATGGCCATGCAGGGAACCCTCTGCCTTAGGGATGTAAGCAAGTAGTCGAGTATTCAACTACCGGATAAATCTAAGCTTATCCAGTACTCAACTCGAGTGCTTTCTACTTACTTACTTACTTACTTACTACTTGCTTTCCCCCCTTGCTGCCTCTCTGTATCAGAGGCAGCAAGGGGGAGAACAGGAGCTGGTGCTGGGGGGGTGCTGGCTTAAAAGCTGGTTCCCCCCAGCACCATCTCCACAGTGCCACCTCCCCCTCTCCTCCTCCCCCGTCTGATGCCTCTATCAGAGGCAGCAGAAGGGGCAGAGGGGATAGGGGAGGTTCCTCCAGCAACAGCTCCTGTCTGCAGCGGGTCTCAATGGGAACCTGGGCCCCCCATGGACAGGGGTTGCAACTAAGGATCCAGCAGCCCCTGTTTGTGGTGACTGAGTTGGCAGCAGCCTCTGCCCACAGCCAGCCTGGGCTGCCGTGAACAGGGGCTGCTAGATTCAGTGCAAGACGGGACCCAGCAGCCCCAGTTCATGCCAGTCTGGGACTGATGTGACTCTGCCTTTTAAATGTAGAAAAAGCTGCCCAGCTCTTCTTATATTTAAAAGGCAGAGCCGCAGCTATCCCAGAGCCTGCGTGAGCCAGGACTGCTCAGTCCTGGCTTGCACCAGCTTCGGGAGCTACCCCCGCTGCAGCTCTACACAGGCCTCCCCTTATTGACTAATTGTGTAGTCGATACAAATTGTATCAACTACATAATTAGCCAAATATCCACTCCCTAACATACTTACTCTGCACCTCTGCTGTCACATCCTCACTGTCATTATAGGGCTCCATGCACAATTACTGGACCAGTGATATCTGATCCCTGCAGGCACAAGATGTGGGGAAGGTTATATTCCTGGTAGGGCAAAGCAGAGAACCTTGACACTCCCAGCAGATTCCACAACAGGTATTTGCCCCTGCAGTGGGGAGCTTGTTCTCTACCTCCTCCATCCACTGCTAGCAGGAATCTCTGCTCTGCCCTGTCCTGCCACGGCCACAACCCTGCCTGCAGACGTCACTGCCCGGAGACAACGCAAGGAGCTATCTGTAGCTGTACTATTAGGGATCCGCTCACTCACTAGGGATGTAAGCGACTAGTCGACTATCCGATAAGCATAAGCTTATTGTATAGTCGGCTAGAGACTCGACTAATCACTTTTCCCCCCACTGTCCTACTGCCTCTATCAGAGAGAGGCAGCAAGTGGGAGGGACACATTCCAGTATTGGGGGGAGCTGGCTTAAAAGCCAGTTCACCCCAGCATCAACTCCGCAGGGGGGCAGGGGCAGCAAAGAGGGTAGCGAAGAAACTGAAGCAATCCCCACTCACACCAGTTCCCACTGCAGGGCTTCAGCCTTGGAACAAGAGTCCCATGTCTTGCTACATTTCAAAGGCTGAAGCACCGCAGTAGAAACATGGGGAGAGCAGGACTGCTTGAGTCCTCGCACCTGAGAGGCAACAAGGGGTGGGGAGTGGGGGGGAAACACGAGGCAGTGCTGGAGGGAGCTGGCTTAAAAGCCGGTTCCCCTCAGAACCACCTCTGGGGTGCCACCTGCGCCCCCGCTGCCTCTATTAGAGCTATGGGGGGAGGGGATAAGAGAGGCTGCTACAAAGCATGCTGCCAACCAGCCCGTTTGCGGTAGCTAGGGCTGGCTGCGGCTATAGCTGCTGCAAACAGAGGCTACTCCGGAAGCAGCCAGGGCTGTTCACTGCAAACAGGGGCTGCTGGACTCAGCGTGACCTGGGATGGAGCAGTCCTGGCTCGCACATACGTTGCACCTCTAAATTTTAAATGTAGTAAGAGCCCGGTGTCTCTTACTACATTTAAAATGCAGAGCCACAGTGCAGGTGGCTCCTGGAGCTACCCTTGCTGTAGATCTGCATAGTGGTTCTATCAAATTGTATTGAGTACATGATTAGTTCATTAATTGCAATTTAACATCCTTATCACTCACTCCATTCAATGTGTCCGCTGAACTCAACAATTACTAACACTCGTAGATTAATATCAAATCCTGTTCCCTCTCATCTGCATGCTTACACGTGCGCACACCAAAAAATTCCACCCCCGCACACCTCCTATGCAGAGCTGCTGCAGAGGCTGGTGGATCCATGAGCCACAAAGCAAGAGGAAGTGATGGCTGGGGCTGGAGGAGTCCTGAGCAGCACAGCGGGAGGCTGTTGTGATGGCTGGGGCTGGAAGAGCCATAAGCCGCAAAGCAGGAGGCTGCTGTGGTGGCTGGGGGAGTAGCAAGGGAGCCTGGGCAGAAGAACAGCAAAACAGGTACTGGGATCATACCAGAGGAGCCAAGGACGAGGGGATTGGCACAGAAGTTGGCTGGCACAGGTAAATTCAGGGGAAGGGGATGGAGGGCAAGGTGTGGGGTTGGACACAGGTCTCTGAGAAATAGGGACAGGGGAGAACAGGTGAGATGTGGGGCTGGGCACAGGTTTCTGGGCAGTGGTGCTTGGGCTGTGGGCCCTAGGCCCAGCTACTGGCTATTTGTGTTTGGAGTGCAGATAACATGGCCCAGACTTATATACTGGTGGCATACGGGGGTGGGGGTGGGGAGACAGGTTCTAGACTGCAACGCTGGACACAACTGCAGGGTGTGTAGGGGGATAGGCAGTTAACCAGGCCTATACAGGTACCACCTAGCTGTGTGTCGTCCGGAGGTACAGTGTTGTATGTAGGAAATAGCAAGTTGGGTGGTATTCAGGGTGGGTGAGTGTTAATTATCCCTTGCTTTAGTATTTTTTCTTACATAACAATTTGAAGTGTGTGTGTGTGTGTAATTTTGCTAGTAACTGGTGGGTGCCACAGTGGCACACATCCAAACAAGCCCACAACCTCAATACTGGTGCGTAAGACTAAACTCACTCCGCTCATGAATGAAAAAAATCTTAGGGGGAACACTGCTGCCAAGATTAATTGTTCACTTACCTTCATCCTCAACACTGTGAAGTCTTTTTTCAAGTTCTGTTATTGTGTTTCTCAATTCAAATATTGAGAGTTCAAGTGTTTCCCTGTGAGAGAAGTTAGTTAAATAGTTATACAATTTATCGTCTTACTAACAACAAAGTCTAACTTGAATTTCATGTACAGATCAAGTGTCCTTGTGTTTATATTCCACTATGTACATTAGAGCGATTGAGGCCAGAAGGGACTACCAGATCATCTAGTTTAGCCGTGGCCAACCCGAGGTTCACGAGCCGCATACAGCTCTTCCCCCCCCGGTGCAGCTCACGAAGCTGCCCCCACACTCCTCAAAAATGGCCCTCTCCTCCCAGCCCCCTGTGCTGATCTGGGCAGGGGAGTCATCCGGCACAGCCATGAAAGATGTAGAATTAAAGATGGCGTCGAGAGCCTGCTGTGGCCAAAAAGCCTCAAAACACGTTTAAATGAGTTTTCTTAAAAGGGCAGAGCTTTTTTTTTTTGCTCAACTAAACATGACCAGAGGCTCCTTTTAAAGGGGCAAAAGGTTGCTCGACAACTTTGCCCCGTCTCTTCGTGCTGGATCCACTGCTATCTTGGCTCTTTGCCCAGAAAGGGTTGGCCACCCCGATCTAGTTTTTCCTCCTGCACATGACAGGCTACTAAACCCTACTCAGTTGTCACAGTATTAAGTTCAATACACTAGATTAGAAACTACTATATGCCATAGGCATGAAACATGAGGGGCCAAGATGCATGAATGCCTGAGGCCTCTGTAATGGCAGAGAAATGATTTGGTGAGATATACCTACATGATCCTAGCAAGTGAGCTAGACTTGTGCTGCAGAGAAAGGTGAAAAACAAAAACCCTAAACCAAACTGAACAACCCAAGGCTCATGCCAATCTAACTTGGGGGGGGGAAGGACGGGAATCCTTCCCAATACCAAAAATGATGGTCAATATACCTCTGAACATGTAAGCAAGATCAATATGCCTCTGAACATGTAACATCTGAAAGAGAATTCTGTGTACCACCTTAGAGCACCAGTACACTCTGTTCAGTGGCCCATCATTAGTTCTTCTTTAGAATTGCTACAGTGCTTTAGAAACAGAGGCATTTTTGAAATTCAGTCATTGGAAATATTTTCATAAGGCAATATTATATACTATCTCTACATATCAATATTTTTCTGGCAAGACATCAAGTGTAAGGCTGTGTAGCCAGACATGAACCCCATCTTGTTTCCCCTCCCCCGCTCCAGAGAGCAAGGGAAAGGCGGTCAGCCTTTGATGCTCTGGGAACGCAGGTGTGCTGCCTGTCCCTGACTCTACCATAAACAGAAACTAGACAGTAAATGGGCTAGCTGACGACCTGGGGCCTCCCGCCGCCCTGATGGCTAGTACCAGTAATTGACACGCCTGCACTGTCCCAGGAGAGGAATCTTCGCCCATCACATACCAGAGGAGCCCATTGTTTGCATTTTCCCAGATGTGAATTATGCTTTGCACCCTTTGTGGAAAACTTGGCGTTCAAAGCCATTTTTCCTAATTGTCCACTTGAGATCAGGAAGAAGCCTACGTGACCTAAGGGGTATAAAGAGGGGTTTAGTAGCCCACCCCATTTGAGCTCCAATCATCTACACCTGCTGGCAGGTATTGATTGACTCCCAAGGTCTGTGGGACGCCCAACCTCGCCCTACTTCTTCCCGAGGGATTGAGAGAAAGACGCTGGCCACGCCAAGTCTGGAACGCAGGGATAAGAATATATACCTGCTAGGTGTCTATTTTGCATGCATTTAATAAGAGCTCAGAGAACCAAAAGGGTTTCATGGTACCTGTAAGTGACTTATTAGTGTAATTTCTGTCCTGTCCTTTGTAGTGGCTGTGTTATCTGTAACACAGTAGTAGCATTTAACAGCTAAGTTTACCCTGTTACAATAAAATAGTAACTGTTTAAGCAGTGACCTGACTCCTTCAGTTGCTGTAACAGAACCAAGCACAATTTTTAAAAAGAACTCCAGACAGTCATAAAGGACAGATATAGGGAGAGGTTGAGCATTGGATCATGTCGCTTCCAGGGGACAGATCCATTGGGGCATCTCTCAGCTTCCCCAGGCTGCCCGCTGCGAAGGGATCGTGTATCCTAGCAGTCAAAATCTGAGGTGTAATAAGCTCTCCCTGTAAACTCTGGGGCGTCTGTTGGCCTGTTGGCTGCCTGCCGCGAAGGGATCCAGATCCTAGCAGTAAAGACACGAACGTTAAACTCCTCGGGGCTCCCATCAGTCTCACCTAGACTGCCCACTGCGACGGGGCCTTGTGTCTCAGCAGTTGAAGACTCGGGTGTAACACACACACATGCACTGCCCTGACCATCAGCTGACAGGCTGTAAGGCTAATGAACTAATGATTGTCTGAGTTTTTGATACATAACAGTATACCTGAGAAAAGTGCTATTGGAAATGTTTATCTTAGTTTAACTCAGAACTCACTGCTTAGAGACTAATAATACTTCTTTTAGATACTTTTTGGCCACATATTATGATGATTATTTAAATTTCAGGAACTGTCAAAGTATATGATAACTAGTAGCTAAACTCAAGGTCTGAAATAGTATGTAACAAAGAGAAAATTTTCTCTAGAAATATTGTAAGAGGTAAGCCATTATTATTTTCATTACCAAAGCAATAATGTGAAAAACATGTAGAGCACTAGAGTGTGAAGTGTTTTCAAAATAGACAAATTGTCAATTGTATTGGAAATTTAAGCTTTGGTTAAATCAAGCATTTCTGAATAGGGATGTAAGAGACTAGTCGACTTTCTGATAAGCAAATGTTTATCAGGTAGTCGAGTAGGAACTCGACTAGTCGCTTCCCTCCCTTGCTGCCTCTACCAGCAACAACAATTCTGCATGTGCACAGTTGCACATGATTCACCCAACAGGAACGTCTACTGACAGCAGAAGGATGGTGAGACTTAGGAATTTGGTGTTCCGTTCCAGACTCTGGAGTAGAGTGGGTAATATGCGGGCACAGATTCTTTTGCCTATTTTCCTTAAACTCGACCCTTTTTGCCCCGGTCCCTTTAATCTGTTCCCTAGTCCTGTCTCTAGCTCACCTCTGCCTTCTTGTCCAATTCTCCACATTTAGACAGCCCAATCTCCACTTCTCAGACTTCCCATCCCCATTTTAGTCTCCTTGCCCAGCAAATCTTAATTTTACCTCTCCAGACTTCCCATCCCAGCCTCCTTGCTCAGTATTCCTAATTCCATTCCTAACAGTGCCTAGAGCAGAGGTGTCCAACCCATTACAGACAAAGAGCCAAAATAGTGGTGGACACAGTGCAAAGAGCCGAGGGAAAAAAGTTGTTGAGCAAAAAACAAAACAAAAAAAACCCCACTGCCCCTTTAAGAGCCATGTGTGGCCCAAGCAGGCTTCTGTTGGCCACAGCATCAGATCTCACTGCGCCAAGTGGCGCCTTGCCCAGACAAAGAAAAAAAGGTCAGATCAGAGGACCGTGAGAAGAGCTGCTGGTGCAGAAGCCACAATTTTTCCTTTGAAAACCTGGGTTGGCCACCTCGGCCTAGAGAGTCCCAATCTCCCTCCTGATGCCTCATTCAATCTGTCTCCTCTGATCTAGTGACTCCCAAGTCCCCTCCCGTTGCCCTTCCCTACTCCTATTATCATTGTTCAGCCTATTCCAGTCTCCTCTCACCTCTACTCCCTCTATTGTGAGAGCTTCCAATACAAATTTCTCCCGGATCCTCTGTGGCTCTTGTCTGCTCTGCATGCACATCAGGCAGCTTCCTTCTCTAAGCTACCTGGGCTCAGTCAGTCACTCTGAGCACAGACAAAACAAGGCTCCCTAGTCTCCAATCAAATATCTAGAACTGCAGCAGCCCAGTGCTGTGAAAGTGCAGGGGACAGCCTGCTTAGGCCCATGCTGGGGCATGCCCAGCACAGGTGGAATTTTTTGGTAATTTATCTGCTAAAATCTTTGAGCATGTACATATTTTTCAAAGGCTTAGAATTGGGCCGAATCTGTGTGAACTTTTCAGGGCTGGCAAGAGTTGCGTCTCTAGCACAAAGGCCACCACCAGCCAAATGTCAAGTTCCTACTTCAAAGCATGGGAGCACTAGAGCAGTGTTTCTCAACCAGTGGTACAAGTACTCTTGGGGTACTCGAGAGAAGTTTGGGGAGTATGTCAACAACTGAAATTTGGAGAAAACAGAATTTTTGTTTTAAGTTTTAAAGTGCTTTATTATGTTTGTACTTTTTACACCCAAAATCGTCATCGCCCACCTGGCTACGATTAAGATATTTAAACAAATGTGTTGCAAAAGTAGAAAAAAAGTGTGTCTGAAAACTGTAGGCACTGGGGGTACTTTTTTTTTTTTTAAGAGAGTACTTTATAAAAAAAAGGTTGGGAAACACTGCACTAGAGCATCTAAAAGAAAAGGTTGGCAAAACACCATAGTATAAAGAAAACATATTTCCTCGGCTTTATTCTCTGAAACAGCTAGATCTTCCCATACTGCTGGAACAGAAAACAGAACACCACATGGGGCTACCCTGAGGATCCCACTCACACCTTCATATTTTCTTCCACTATTTGATCTGAGGAAGTGGGTCTGTCCCACGAAAGCTCATCACCTAATAAACCATCTTGTTAGTCTTTAAAGTGCTACATAGTCCTGTTTTTTGTTTCAGCTACACCAGACTAACATGGCTACATTTCTATCACTATTCTTCATATACAGGGCTGACCTGAGCTAGTCACTCAAAACCCCAGCTGACTTTTTGATATAAGTGGCAAATGCAACAAATTCCCACTTTGGGGGAAAAAAAAAAAAAAAAAAAAAGCTGTGACAGAGGATAAAAAAGGGACAGACCTGGCCAAACAGGAGGCACAGTGGCCCTACTGCTGGCGCACCTTGGCCAATCGGGACTTAGCTAGGATTGTGGTCCTGCTTTTAGCAGAGGCTGGACTTGATGACCTCCTGAGGTCTCCTCCAGCCCTAGGATTCTAGGATCATTTGCCCAAGCAGTTCAGCCCAGGGCAGACACGCAGCGCCCATGGTTAAGGCATGGAAAGCTTATAAGCACCCGCGTGTTCTGCCCTGGGCAACCTCAACCTCCTCTGCAGCGCGTGGGGGCCTCCCCCTGGCGCCCCCCGCTCGCAGCAGGGCTCCCAGGCGCCCCGCTGCCCTGGGACAGGGACTCACTTCATCTGCAGCTCCTGCCCCAGCTCCAGCCGCAGCTGCTCCGAGCCCGGCGCGCTGGAGTCCCCGCCTTCCCCCATTGCCACCCGCAGGCCCCCCCCCCC